CCTTCTCTGAACCTTTTCCAACAATTTAATGTCCTAAGGTAGGCAGCCAAAGATTGAATACAAGATTCCAAATGTGGCCTAACAAGTGACCTGTACAATGAAATTATAACCTCTTTAGACTTGTATTCAGTATTTATGTAGATACAACCTAAAATCCTATTTGCCCTGTCACTAACAACAGCAAACTGCTTGGATACTTTAAAGACTGATCAACTATTACACCAAGATCTCTTTCCTTCGTAACACTGTTAAGATTATTCCCATCCAAATTATACTTCTAATTCAAATTATGATAACCCACATGCATTATCTTGCATTTGTTATAAATAAAACCCATCTGCCATTTATTTGCCCAACTCACTAAGTGATCTAAATCCTTTTGTAAATCATCAGCATGCTCTTAACAGCTAGCAATACCCAAGATGTTAAGAGCAAAGGTCCTAAGACTAAGCCCTGAGGTATCCCACTTGTGACATTGATCTATTCTGGCTCCTTTTATAACACTCCTTTGCTTTCTTCCATTCAGCCACTCTTCTGTCCAATTTGCTAACTTATCCCCTACACCTATAGAGCTATTTTTTACAGGCCTTTTATGTAGCACCTTGTCAAATGTTTTCTGAAAATCCAGATACACCAAATCTACACTCTTACCCTCATCTACATAAGCATTAACCTTTTCAAAGAATGTCAAAATATTTGTAAGACAAGATTTTCCCTTAGTGAAATCATGTCGACAATCCAATAAAATTCTAAACTTTATTAAATGACTTTGCAAAGCATCTTTTATCCGACTTTCCAAAACTTTTCCCACAACTGATATAAGACTAATGGGTCTATAATTACTGGGACTATTTTATCACCTCCCTTGAAAAGAGGAGTTACATTAGCTAATTTCCAATCCTCTGGTACCTGCCCACTATTCAAGGACTGACATAAATAGTAGTAAGTGGCTCACATATCCAATCTTTAACCTCCTTCAAAACCTTTGGAGAAATATTATCTGGCCCAGGAGTCTTATCTTTTTTAAACTTCCCAATTTTTTTCTCAACAAGCTCAGAATTAACGCAGTCATCTTGTTTGATCTCGTTTCCACGTGGAATACTGCTTAAATCTTCGTTAGTAAAAACCGAAGAAAAAACAAACTTTATTAACCCAGCCATCTCATAATCATGATATGCTAGCCTTCTTTTATCATCCCTCAAGGGTCCTACCTCCATCATAACATTTTGTTTACCCTTAATGTATTTAAAGAAATCCTTACTGTTAATTTTTACATTTTCAGTCAACCTTTTCTCATGTATCCTTTCTGGGGCCCCTTAAATTTCAAATAATATTATAAAATATTTCATACGAAATAATCGATACAGTTGCATAGGCTTTATCCTGGCTAAACCAAACTTATTACGTGATGGATGGATAAGTTTAAATAGTTTTGGCTCGAAGTTGGATTTAATATTTTGCTTAATATAATTGCAAGTGCACTGCAATGAAAAACTCCGATTTTCTGTAGATTGTTATCAAACTATTATTGACAAAAATTGATTAATGCAAGAGCATCAGATGATTTTACAAGTATGTAAGAAGTGTGATAGTATGCATTTTAGCCAGACTTTCCTTCTTTACAAAAATACTGTGTGTGTGTGTTTTTGTTTGTTACTTCAATTTATTTATGGAGTGAAAAATACCTTGCCCTAACTTGTATGTAGAATTATTCACTGACTATTCTCTACTTTAAAATACTTTTCTTTTATTTGCGAGCTTTCGGCCCTTTTACCGGAGCATTCATTGGGCAACAATGTACTGCGCGATACAAATTCGAATAGTAAACTGAGCTAAAAAGGGCCGAAAGCTCGCAAATAATTCTACATATTGTTGCGTCA